GCAGATTTGGGATATTTATTAGATGAAATTGGATATTCAATTTTTTAACGGCCTGCACCAAAATAAATGAAAACTAGTCTGCGCAGGTATGAAAAATGACAAAATTAAGAAATGTTACATGTAGCACAAAGAATGGTGACACACATTGTTATCAGGCTATATGAATAAAACATTCTATACCATCCAAAATTTCGAGTCATAATATTACAATACCACCTCATAACTGTCTTAAAAGTGTAAAATAATAAACGCATATCACTTTCATACCTTGTGTTTGCTTGTCGTTTATGAGTGTGTGATGGAAGGTGCTAGTGTGTGATGAGAGCTGACTGGAGCGTCACTCCGGAGAGGGCTGAGCTGACCTTAGCTATGATTTGCATTTCAGCTTTGATTTATCCAAGTCACAGATCGTTTAGACGCCTGGCAAGATACAGAGAAGACGTATATAGAAGAGATCAGTTTCTCAGACACACACACATGCACATAAACAGAGTTTCAAAGAATGAGGAAGTCTTTCGTAATATATTTTCATGGTTATATTAGAGGAAAATATGGCCATAGATTGACATTCATCATGGCAGTATATAAGGCTCTGAAAACAGGGTTGAACCATAGACATTAATCAGATGGATGGTGGGATTTGATGACAAAGATTAAATGAGTGTAAGAGACACCAGTCAGCTTCAGATTACTGCAACTGTCATCAAATACCCCCCAGGCCATTAACGGGTCACGCAGACCCTCTCGCCCCACTCCCCCACACACACACATCAGCACCACCAGCACAGCTCGACCCTAAACAACACAGGTGCTCTTCCTGGAACACCCAGCAGACATACACACACAAACACATACACACACACTGTCCACTTGTCCTCCTTTTACACTTGGCTGGAAATTATTTTTCATGTCCTGCACACAGAAGGGCCCAACATGCTCCCGTTGACTGCCTCATCTAAAGGCTACTTCTGACAAAGGAGAGTGTTATTTACGTTTGTGGACCATAAGAACAGTGAAAATACAGGTGAAATTATTGTTTATTATTTAGATTCCTTGAAATGTAAATGATAAATCCCTAAATTATGCATTCACAAAATTAGGATTTTCTTTAAATAGGCTTATATTGTGCAAAATGGGACTGGGTAATATGGTAATATTATTACCATAAACAATAATAAATGCAATAGCGATGATGTTACATGACCACTGGAGTTGAGACTAACAAAAGTCATTATAATTGTCTACCAATACTTGTTAATGACAATGAGACAGAGGTAAAGTATGAAGTAACCAAGAAATAATCATTTTAAACTTGATTTCATCTGCTCCCTGTTTGTTGTTTCAAAACACTTCTTTAAGGATTTTACAATAAAAATGTGAAACTTTTCTGTAGGTTAATGGGCATTTGTGTAACTATGTTATGATGTGGGCCGATTTCGTATTAATTCATACAATGTGAATCCTACAAAAACGTACAATTACTAGAAAAAAAGTAAGCATGAAGGTCCATCCCGAAACATACACTGTAAAAAAATTGCTGTAATTATGCAGCTGTTTGCCAGTAACTTACTGTAGATTTAAATTGATGTATATTTACTGGCAACAGTTTGTTCAAAGTTAAATGAACATTAAACATTAACAAGTCTTTGTCTTTACAGAATACAATTATAAAATAACAATCTAATGCAAAGCATTCTGGGAACCAGAAATCTTCATCAACCTTTTTCTATTTTTTTCCTTCAGATTTTGGTTCCCAGAATGCTTTGCATGAGGCTGTTATTTTAGTTTTATTCTGTAAAGATAAAGACTTGTTAATGTTTAATGTTCATTTAACTTTGAACAAACTGTTGCCAGTAAATAACATCAATTTAAAACTACAGTAAGTTACTGGCAAGCAGCTGCCAGCAATACTGTAAGTTCTACAGATTTTTTTTACAGTGTACCAGTCACTGGGGCATAACCAGATCACACACAAATGAGATTGTATGAATTCATAGCCATTGATTCGCTAAAACGTAAAATAGTTATGAATTGCCATGAGGTTGTGTTGGTTTTATGATTAGTCACGAGTCCTTGACCACAACATAGAGCAAATGGCATGGGTTTCTAAAATATCATCTATCCAGCGTTTGTATTAGTCATATGCAATGCAGAACACGAGGCTCCTCGCTAAAGTGAACTGCTATTAGTGGGTATTGAAGTTGAATGTCAGACCATTTGGTAATGTAGGAGACACACAGATGAATATATGCAACAGTGCATGGTTATGTAATGTGGCCCGGGTTGCACTGGTGGAAATAAGGCTTGCCTTTTTCCCAAACCATAATGGACGTATGAGGAGCTGTTAAACAAGAATGAATTATTCATGATTTGTGCGAACGGTCGTACACAATGTTCTGCCCTTTCTAGGTTGTTTTGGGGTCTGACGTAATTTTCTGTGACTTTCTGTAGTTAGAATGTCGAAGAAATGTAAATGTGCAACGATTGCACAATCAATATGGCAGAGAAGTGCATAACTGATGTCTGTAAGGCCTGTGAGACGAGTGTGAAAATGTAACACTGTGTTGGCCGTGTGGAGGGAAGATGAGGCCAGGCTCTGAGGGACCGAAAGATGATCCCGTATGCCAACACACTGACATGAAAAGAGAGCCCTGGCAGAGTAGTGGTGATGACCAGTGCCACAAGGCATGTTATTGAATCGAAAAAGCATATGTAGTTGAGTTATATTACACTTTATTGCTGGATATGAAAAATCATTATGGGCAAAAATAAACAGGTTTTTAAATTTATTTCTCAATTGCTTATTTAAATTATTACTGCCATTTAAGTTGACTGATCATGGATGAAAGGAATATTATATATGTGTATATAAATGTTTTTGTATACTATATATGTGTGTATGTACAATATGAAAACACATATAAATGTAGCCTACAAATATTTAAGTCTATTTTTATTTGTTATTAAAGAACATAGATATATACCATACTGTTTGAGTCCTATTTAGTCCATTATGGAGTCAATTTTATACATTAAGTATACATTTTACACACACAGGCCTTAACTGGCCTCAGAGTGTTAATGCCCCCAGGTTTACTGATAATGAGTCAGTAATGTGAGGTGTGTGAGTGTGTGTGCATAAGGATATTGGTGTATGTAAGGTTTGCCAACCATGGGGGGGGCTGTCACCTGTTTTGAGATACAGCAAGCCAACCATTCCTCTGTTCTAAAATAAAAAAGCACCCAACAACCTCCTCTCTCTCTGCATGTGCTGTTTGTCTGTCATCTTCAGTCCAAAACAGGTGTCTCACTGGTTCTGGTTCTAAAGACTGACCCAATGTTAGACTGCTAGTACAAATTCCTAGTCCTGTTTGAGTATTTTCAAAGTTTAGTCCCCTAATTTGTTTTTTATGTTTGCAGTTCACTAGGTGTTAAAAGCAGTCAGAAGGTCTCGCATAACCTCCTTTACACACACACACACACACACACACACTCTTAAGCTGACCACATTGCAAGTACATGAAGATAATATACGTAACGTCACGCTCATTTAGCGACAGAAAACTTGTTGGTGTATGATTTCTCAGGGACAAAAGCACAAACTTTTTTCTCATATCACATTTAATTGTTTCAAATGTAAGGTTGCAAGTTCAAACTTTGTCTTTCGTGTGCATAAATGCATTCTGTTTGTGTGTGTCAGTGTACCTCTAGGAGCCCCTGGTGGTATTTTTCATTTGTTAGGCATTCAGAACCTTTGCCTGACCCCAAGAGAAGCATCTAATGCTGCAACACATAAACTCCTCGATTATTCTTTGCCATATGGATATATTTTATTTGGCTCAAAGGGTTTTTTTAATTATCAGGCCAACAACAGTCAAAAATAGAGGAAGTGTCAAAAGAGAGGCCTCTGGCAAAACAAGCCTTATTATTAAAATGCAAGTATTTAAAATTGCCGTAAGTGCAAGTGAAATCTTTACACAGTATCAATAATATTCATATTCTCCATATTTGTGAAAAATTACATTTAATAAGAAAATTAGCAAAAGCTAACATGTCTGCAAAGGAAAAGCGTTCTTTTCAGTCTTGGATTCAGAGTGAGACAGCTGACCTGGAATCAGCATGTATCTCGTGGCAGGATAATCCTTCTGAAGAATGCCAATGGTTGTATTTATAAAGTGTGAGAATTGTCATCCTGGATCAGATTTCATTCAGCCCTGTCTGTTCCAAGACTCAGACAGCAGCGCTGATCCAGACAAAAACACTTCGACTTGGAGAGAATTTGTAAACACTAGCCCACATTTTGTTTTACCTTGTCCAGTTTCAGATTAAATCGTATTATCTGCCATTAATGCTGATCGGATGTGCTCAAAACCTCAGCACAAATAAGTGACGTAGTTACCTGATGATTGTCACCTAGAAAATGGTGTAGTTCAAAATTCAAGTCATTGAAGCCTGTTTCATGCTTCGTGACATCACTTCCTGTCATTTTCAGTCTGCTCACTCTTAAGTGCCAAACTCTGTTTTATTGTCCATAAGATGCTGAGTCCAGCCTCACAAAAGGCATCTGTTAAAGTCCTCACACTCCTACCAGCAGTTCAGGGGTCTCATTGAACCTTGATGAGATCCGATGGCTGATGTCCTTTCATGCCGTGAAACTGAGCAGGATTGTGCGCAAGTGTGTCTGTAAAGTGTTTTCTAGGTTTCCCGCGTGATTCTTCAGGCATTTCCATACCCTGGTGTCCAATAATAGTCTGTGCCGCTTCATCAGAATGATTTTAAAGATATAAAGTCTATTAAAAAATATCCTCAATGTTATCTTCAGCTGTCATTTTCACAAAACATAAATGATATTGCAGATTTCTCTCAGTTCTTTACATTGTGTACATCTGTTTCTTGTGCTTGCCATAGCAGTATGTCCCTCTCTCAACTCTTGCGAGAGTGATGAATGTCCGACGGATTATAAATTATGCTATTGACTAGTCCTAAAAACTAGTTTATACTCAAAGAAAACATTCTTAGCTGAGTTTGGTAGTCCGTCAAAGTTTTTGGGTCACAGGTCAAGACATGTGGGCTGTCACCTGGGAGGTGGAGCTTGTCAGCCCCAAAGTCCGTGAGTCAAAAAGATTCTGTTGACCACTACTGAGCATGTGCAGACCGTCCACAGTGGATAGAACCTGCCTGTCCGTCAGCGTCCCGCTAGGGGAGGAGCCAAGGAATGAACTTTGCGTGGCGGCTGCCTTTTCAGGGCTGGTGGCCAAGCGGGGAGAAGTGGAGAAGTTGTAACCATAGAGGCCATAAGGGCTGTGCAGGCGGAACCCATTATAGGATCCCTGTGTGCTTTGGTTGGTGGAAAACGCATTATGGGTATGGCTGGGCATGAGGTACTGCAGCTGGGAGGTTGTGCTTGGCATGCTGTGGATCTGGATTGGCAGGCCACTCTGTGTGCACGAGAACGCTTCACCTTCGGTCCCGCTCATATACGTAGAGCTCCGATTAGTTGAAAAGGCATCTGCTGTAGGGCTGGCCAGTCGACTGTAGGAGTCTGCGGAGAGGGGAGGGGCGTAGCGGTGGAGAGGGTGGCTTGTTCGACTGCAGGTGGAGTAATCGCACACTGGCCCTGCCCCGGAACCCAGGTGGAATGTAGGGGAAGAGCATGAGGACGAGGACAGCAGATGTGTGTGTGCTGAAGACCCAACAACACCGTGAGAACCAGCTGCACCTGAACACAGTCATAATGACATATCATTAATAAAACATATACACATGAAACAAACCAAAATGTACAAATCTCATAGTGTGAAATTTCACATTACAGGGATTCAAAGTAAACATATAATCGAATTTATTCTTAATATATATCAAAATTATGTTTTTTAACTTCATACATTAATACTCAATACATTTTCCTGGTCTTCATGTGTACCAGGGTTGTGCAAAAAATCATATTTGAAGAATTGGCTCATCTTTAAATCACAAGACGACATCACGGTTAATCTAGTTATTTGTTTGGTTAAAAGTTTAGTTACACTATATTAATTTCTTTGAATTCTTTAAGTTTGCTCCCAAGCATTCAAGTTCCAATTCTGCATCCAGTTTGCTAGCTCAATTAAAATTGAATTTAAATTCAGGAATTGAAAATATAAAGAAAAGAAAAGAACATTCTGTTATTTATTCACCTTCATGTTGTTCCAAACAACATTGGACCCAATCTACTTTCATTGCATTATCAAAAATTTTAGACATTTTTCAAAATATTCTTTTTTGTTTGTTCCACAGACAAAAGAAAGTCTGAAAACACATGAAGTTAAACTTTTTAAACTCATTGGCACAAGATATTCCAAAGACAAAAAATGTCTTATTCGTGTTACTATTTACAAATACGTATAAACAACAACCCATTGTGTAATGATACATTTGACAGGGAAAACACAGACACATGTGGTACCTTGTTTAGTGATTCCAGGGAATTCCTCAAATGTCAGAGTTCTCAGTGAGGGCCGCCAGAACGCATACGACTCAACCAGAGCCTCTAGTCCCATCCTAAATCACACAAGCATTCTGATCAATAAACATGTATTAGACACAAGAACACACAATATGTCTAAAAATACAAAGGCAAGAGTGGTTCAGTAAAGCTCTCAGTCCACTTAACAGAAAAGCTCTGCATCTGGCTAACCTTTCCAACAATGTGTTCAATCCTTGCCAGCCGTCCTAGTGCTAGGCCCTTTCTTTATCAGTATGTATTTGGGCAGTAAAGCAGAGCAGGTAATGAAGAACATAAAGTGTGTGTGTTGGTGTGTGCGACGGCAAGGCTATAATTATTTTCACATAGCTTTATCGGTGGGATCAGACATAGAGTGCAGGAAGCCACAGTTAAAGCTTTACGAGGAGAGAGAACGAAAAAGAGAGAGGGGTGGGGGTATTTTCTGGCTTTTTCTGGAAGTAATGGTGGTGCTCGGTGCGCCTTGTTAGCGTGGACATTACCCCACCCCCTCCACAGTACCACTCAGGCGATAATTCACACAAGATGCCTCAACTTGTTTCGGCCCCAGTTTTATCAGCCACACCACTTGAGCTATCAAGTGGCCGAGTTTGTTTAGCAAACTGCTTAACTTTTCCTGTAACACTGAGCCACAGGGCTCGGGTCTAAGTGCTCTGCGAGACCTCGCATAGGGACGGAGGAAAAGTGGGTTGTATGTGGTCTGCTGCAATTCAGAGGGGTGTTAAAATCGCTCTCGTTTAAAAATAATGAGCAGAGTTAAACTTCCCCACTGAGCTTTCGAGTCAGAGTCGTGCAAGCCTTATTTCTGCACAGCCTCCATTTCCTGTTTGCACGTTTATTATTTATTTCTCTTGTGTTATGTGAAGATGGAGATTATTTTTTATTGTGCTGTGTATTTTAATTTATACATTTATTTTTGTACATGGAATAATGGCTTTTCATCTGACTCTGTTTTTATGTTTATTTTGTCTGGGCCTCGCTGGAATCTTGTGGTACTTATAAAAGAAGACTTTTCCCTTTGGATCTGATAATCCTTTAATACGGTTTGATAGTTCTGAAATAACTTTACACTGATGTCAGAAGAGAATGAGAAGTTAAACAAAAAACTCTTTGTTGCCTCAAAAAAAGCTAGAGAAAAATACATGTAATAAAGTGTCATTTCTGTATTGCTACACAAATAGGTAAAAGCAGAAACTACACATTTTGGCTATTCTGTGACAGATGGGCATGCCTCAATTCAATTGTGATCAATAAAATTTAATGAAAATTTGGAAGACCCATTTCCCAGTTCCAGTATTGGTGGAGTTACTGCTTTTTAAAATGTACAATGGCATTGACTCACAGAAACTACAGAAACTAAATGTATTTACCTATTTCTTCCTGAGTCTCTGAATCCTTTTGCAAATGGATTCCTGTCGATCTTCAGTCTTGTTATCTGTAAAAAATCCACACACAAAACACATTCTCTTTACTGACCCAAAGCCTGTAATGTCAAATTCCCTGACCTAGCACCAGTGACCCTTATCCCACAATGCAATGTGTGTGGGTTTATTTTATAAGCTTTTTTCTTTCCTATGTGTGTGTGAGAGAACATGTGTGTTGTGTTTTTATAAGCTCAGACAAATGGGTGACATAATTTCTAAAACTTGGCAGTTAACATGAAAATGATGATAAGATTTCAAGCTCTAACTTAAAACATGCTCTGGTATTAATCTGTTATAGCAAACGAAAACACGTTAATTTAATCAAACAATATATAAAATCTAAATTTCTAGTCTTTTTTTTTTGGTGTTGCAATTTATAAATACTTTGCTTCTGAACTGTAGGCAAAGGAAAGTCAATACAAATGCCCAAATAAACACATATGTAACTGTGCCCTTTATAAATAAATTGCCCTTTATGGGGTGTTGGTTGCATACTCTTTCAGTCCCATAGAGGCTTTGATCTATGAATTTAGAGAGCAGGAGCCCTTCAAATCCCAACTTTAGGAGATTTGTATGATTATTTCAGTAATATATCATATAAATTAAGTCATTTACTTATACCAGTGTATCCTAAATACGAGCGTTCTGCAAGTTAACTGGGTTAATTATAAAAATAAAACATATTAAAAAGTAAATAAAATGTACAAAACAACTATTATTGTCACAATAGAACAGCTCTGCTTTATCCATTTTCATAAATGCTGGTATAGAGTCCAGATAATTCTAAAATGTTGCATATCTTGTATCCTAATATTAATATTATTCATATTGTTTATATTACTTGCTTTTGTCTTGCTTGCTTGGACTTACAAAAATAAATTGGCCAGTTTTGTTGTGGCTGGCATGACTTTCCTATTCATTTGTTTTATAAAAATCAAGCTGTAATAATGTAATCCAATAAAAGAAAAAAGGCACTGAGCCCGACGAATTCCTCTTCATTTAATTTCAAGAAACAATCTGACCCTTATTTGCAGCTTTTGTGATGTGTTATCAAATTGTGCATAAAACAGTTATGGCAGGATGTGTTGGGAATTACCTGTTGGTTTTGGTATGCAGTCACCGTTGTGAAGACAGTTTCGGGGAAAGAGAATGCTTTGACACCGTCCCCAGTGGGAACCGCCTTAACCGGCGAGAGTTCTTCACCGCACTCCTTACGGATGACGTGGACACGGGGCTGGTACTTGTGCATGGAGTGCAGAATGATCTGGAAAACATTACATTGCGCATCAGTGTTTAGAGTGGGAAACGGAGGAATTACCAAAGCAGTTTTCTACCTCAATAAAAACACACATGCCTCCATTTTCAAAGGCCAAACGGGCCTTTTACAGCCTCGCCCTGGGGATGCTTTCAATTGAGTTTGTTTACAACCCTCCACATTACAACATGTTTAGACCTTTAAAATAATACAGCAAAACAAAATGCACACCGGGCGACAATAGCTAGCATGTGTGTAGGTGCATGAAAAGAGTTGTCCAATTATAACATTTCATTTATTTCAGGATCACAGAAGGAAATTCTAAAGGTCTGCTTTCCTATATGAAGTCTTAATGTATTTGCAGTTTTTCCTTATAAGTCTAACATATACAATAATTATGCAGTTTTCCTTATTCAAATGTACAAAAACAACAACAACAAAACATTTATATTCAGTAAATCACTCTTGGATACATAATAAGAGATTCTCTCACATGGCCTTGGTCGTCGAGCTCGTTATTGGTCAGTTTGAGTTTGTCGAAGCTTATAACCTGGCGCATCCACGTCTCACCGGAAGCAGGCGAATCCGGATGGATGTAGACGCGTGGAGGGACAGGAGAGTCGGCGTTACCCGCTACCATCCACTTCGAGCTATGATACACGTACCTTGGAATGGGGAAAAAAAGTCAGTGTCTTTACATAATATGAATTTTAGACGGCTCGACTTTCAAAGGAATATCTCTCAGTATAGTTTTGGACGCAATGTATTTGAGTTTCGGCGCGCGCAACGCGTGTGTCTTTGATTTCAGTTAGCTAACCGTCTCAGACTACATGGTTGCTTAGTCACTATTTCTATTATATATTTGTGCTGGGTAAATAATAAAATAAATAATGACAGTAGCCTTATTGTTTTGTAGATGCAGTGATGATGAACGAAATGTTCAGACACACAGAGCAGCCCGGAATAAACTAACGCGTTATGAATTTGTTTTGACTGCCGTTGTCTCATGACCTTCAGGTCCACGAGGTCAAGCTCCCAAAAGGGCATCGCAAAAGGCCGGGCTGAAGATGTCAACAAAGTCCCGGAGTGCCATTTGTGGAGACGGTTAGTTCAAAATGCTCAATATTAGGCCCTATGCAGTGACCAGTTGGGAAGACAGATTTCGTAAATTGCTCACCTGTACCGTTTGTTGTCGACAGGAACAATATCCATAGCAATATAATACTGTTGATGAGGATCCAGTCCCACAATCTTAACCCTCATCGCGGGAAACATTCGCCTGGGATAAAATGACATTTTATATTAATATTTTCATAACTACATAATATTGAGGCAAGCAGAATTGCAAAAGAAAATTCAGATTTACAAAGAGCACGGTTTTTACCTTTATGTGGGCATAATTTTTCTAACACAGCCCGTTTACGTCAAGTAACCTAATATTTTCCAAATAGGCCTATAGTTTTTAGAGATAGGCTAGCCAGTTAATTTAAATAAATGGTCAGTCAACAACTCAACATAAAAGTAGGTAGCCTGCACAAAACCAGGCCTAATATAATAGTAAAATCTATCAAATGTGTAAAAAGAAAGAAAAAAAGGCTATATGAGCAGTAGGCCTATTAGCCTAAATATCAGCGGCATTTTCGTCCCAATCCCTTTTTAATTCAATATAATTCCCAAAGTCCATCTGAAAGTAACCGCATTTACCCTCTGTCAAAAGAGATTGTCTGGATATTTCAGCAATTTAATTCAGACTTTGGTAAATGCGTTTTGGATTAAGAATTCATGTGTGGTTGCATCAAATATTTTTTTGTATATGAAAACAAGTCACATGGCATATTTTTACTATAAAATAAATTCGTGTCTTTGGTACCACTATTCAAACGTAAATAATTATTTTAGCCAATCGTCATTAAAAGTTTTAACATTGAAAAGCGTGCTTTGTGTGATGCACCTGCCGGCTTTGGTGATGATCATTTCAGTTCCTATCTCGTGGAATCGCTTCCATAAGTCTGAGCCCTGCAAATCCACGCGCATCTCCTCTCCGGAGCTCGTGCCCGATTGCGCGAGGAGCTGCGCAGGTTGTGGGCTATCCAACAACACGTCCTCAGACTCAGCTGAGAAAGACAGAAAGAGTTTGTCTTAATTATTGCATAACAATCTGCAGAACCCTTTTAATTTTAACTAACGAGTGCTGAAGTGTCATGCAAACGTGCTTTGCAATGATTTTCTGTATTTGTAGGCTACATGTATTTACAGAATAGGCTATTATTACTTTATAAATGCTGTTGAATATTATATTGCAATATAATATTATAAATAGCCTACATTTCCCCCGTTTTTTCCGTTATGGAATTAAGAATTTAAGTCATGGCTTTGTGATGCATTATCGAGATGACAGAAGAACTGCATTCGTTTACTTTAAAATAACAAATAAATAGCCTAGTTACATAAAAAATAAGCATATTTTATTCCAGCTCTATCCATAGTTTGTTTGTTTTTTTGTTGTTGTTTTTTTTTGCAAGTAGGCCTATTTAGGCTTTAGTGATGGCAAGTTAATTTGAGTGTTTATGATTGTGGCCAAACTCATAAACAGAATAGATTAGTCACTCTCTTAGTGCCCATATTTATGAGGCTCATAACTGTTATTTTGTGTACTGTATTTTTCGTCTTTGTCACCCTGACTTGACCCAATTACATGTCTGAATTACAGAAGAGGCTATTTTTACTTGAGAATTTATTGATATATTTATTGAAGATTTTGTTACTGAAAGACTTTCTTCTTTAATGTTAATTTTTGGTTTGTATTTAGCAGCCTATTACAAAACTATACAGGCTAGAAATACATGTGTGTATGTTTTCATCGTACCATGTTACTTTTCAGCCAAGATAATTACAAATACATATTTATTTTGTGGTTGTGGTTTGTTTCGCGCGTAACTAGCCTATATCTTACATATTTAGTTAGTAAATGGATAGGCTACTTACGGGATTCGTCGCTTACGCAGTCTATCTCGCAACTCCTGGTGCTGGGACAAGTTCTCCTAGTCTGGGGTTGCGGACTTTCTGTCAGGCTCGACTCCTCGTTTACCTCCTCAAAACAATTTTCGTTGTCCTCCTCCAGCTTTCTTTTTTTCTCCGTGCCAATAAGCGCTTCTACCGAAAATGCGTGCGCTTTGAGGCTCATAGTACACGGGGACCGTCGTTTCTCAGCCATGGTTACAAACCGAGAAGACAGATTGGCCGAGAAAGAGAAGTTCACCAGAAGTGCACTTGCAACAGCACTTAATCTAGCATTCCTTGAGTCCGAATAGTCCACTTCAGTGAGTAATTAAAACTGCCGATGTGACAAAGACGCTGAAAACGAAGCGACAGTCTATTTAAAACAGTCTCATCGGTCTGTCAACGCGCACGGACACCGAGGCAGTGGCCGGGATTCGTTAAAGTGCCAATAACCAGGGCAGAAGAGGGGCGGGGCCTGCTCACGTCAATCACCGGTGCTCTCTGCCAATAGGCGCGCTGCGTTTCGACCCTCGTGTGGAACGTTCCGCCCATATGTGGTAAAGCCTGGCTGAATGAATCATCTCTCACTCACTGAGCTCCAGTCGTGCTCGCGGCATTGCGATCATTTTCACACTGCGGCTGTACATGCTCCACATGCTTCCGCATTACCTCCTCACGAGCCCTTGTGAGCCAATCCTGTAGAATCATTACCAAATCTACGCCTGCTGTATCTGCGTGAGGCCCAGTAATAAGACATGTCAAACTAACCTGACTTGAGACTTGCAGTCTACAGTTTCTAAATACAAGTCCCCAAGAAGCACCGATTTTTACTACGAGACACAATTTCCTGGTACAATAAATCAGCCCCCCCCACCTCCCCCCCCCCCCCCCCCCCCGAAAAAACCCCTATTTACTGTTAATTGTATTAATTATTGGAAAAATATACATTTATACAGCAAGTTTATACATTTGGAAAATAAATTATACATTTTACAAGACAATTATAAATAGCCTTTAGCTTTAAATGAGGCATTTTTTTCTTTAAATAAAAAGAGCGAGCATTATCGATGGTGTATTTTGTTAGGCGGTTAGTGTTTCTTGGTTTTACTTTTGTTATTTGCTTAGGCTATATATTGAATACAAGAGGGAGAAATATTTCAAATGATTTCAAAGAAAGGTTTTTTTTTTTTGGCCAAAAAAACAATTTGCCTTGTGCCTATATTTTTAGCGAGATGTTTTTTAACAGATAAACACAGATAAGTCGCATAAATTATCATTGATTCGATCTATTAAACCCATGTGATTTTTAGAGCATCTTGTGAGTGTTATGTAGCCTTAGCCTACAGTGCTCCAGAGCCTTTATATTTCCCGCTATTTGAAACGTGTAAATGATTGCACTGCCATTTGGAGAATTCGTGTCCCACGCGCATGTGAAGACACTTAGAGCACATGCAGTGCGGATTGACTTTCTGTGCCTGTCAACCACCAGAAAAATATGAACAAGAAAAATAAGAATGAAAAAAAGAGATGCGTGCATTATTTGATAATAATAGCCTATTACAATATAATTAATACAATACAAAATAATGCTCAAATGACAGTCGTCACTTTATAAAACGCTCACGTCACTGTATAGGTAACTTTTACCTAATCTTTACATTTTGTCATACAAATTTTATAAGGCATACATTCATTAGATCAATATGGATCTGATAAATTTAGATGCAGACGCACAGTTCTGAATGTTTGCACACACTCCAGTGAATTACCAGCAGCAGCTCTTCACTCATTCTTCGTTTACAGTCAATGTCACTTATGGACAATAGCCTGATTATTTTCAAATTACAGTATGTCGGATGAAGGCATTGACAATGGCCGACAAGTTTAAAATTATTCATTTTAGTGAGTGTTGCACCTTTTCTTCAATTGAGATGAACTTTAGAGTTTTGGTTGCACCGTCTCTTCAGTTGGTTAAGCATCTCTTTTTAACCTTTTATCAAATTGCACTGAACATTATTATTTTGACCTGCACAATATAATGTGTAAAAAAATAAATAAAAAAAATCGGGTCAGAGTTTAACAACTCTGATTTTTTTTTTTTTTTTTTTTAGAAATTACATAAAACATATATTTAGAAGTTTCTGTTTTCGTAAAATGATTATACACATTATTATTACTATATAGCCTAGCCTTAGAAAAAACAACTTTTAGTTTAGTTAGTGGGGGCCAGGGGGCCAATGATTTATTTTGAATAAATTACAAAATATTCAGTCTTGTCTGGGCTGCCCATGTTTTACTCGATAGAAATTGAGTCTATTTAATATTTAAAACATTGTGTATTTTCAGTATCGTTTTAGATTTTTAATATTACCAATAAAGTATTTTTATTCATTAGTTAAGAGTTCGCATGGAGAGCTGCACCTGATAAGATTTTTATTTTGAACTATAGCGGCTGGCCATTCAATATTGAAAACAAAACCTGTAGATACACTTTAGCCTACTTTGTATCAAACAAAGTATTTTTATGTATTATTTTTTACAACGCATTATTGAAGACATTTAATTGATTATACCTATACTTAAATTATTTCGAGGTATATATAGGCCTACGTTTTGATCGTCTTTGTAGCCTACATTCATGAACAAATTATGAAACAATTTACTGTTAATGTGGGTTTATTATAACGGCTGTAAATTATCACAAAAAGACATCCTTCTCCTAATAATTATTATTATTATTGTTATGCCTATATCCTTTGGACATATTAAGCTAAAGCAAACGAATACTTATGCAACGATTATCTAATTAATTCGATTTTAATTTTTTTAATCTTGAATTTACTCTAGCTATAATCTGCAACAAGCGTTTATATTTTTTAATTTCTATGCCTTTATGCTGATTTTATATTTCTGTGTAGCCTACAATTAAATGATTTAAATGCTTTCATCTTTTTAAATGCTTTTAAGAATGATAAGCTGATATGGCTATTGCAAAAACGTTTTAGCCTAGGCCTATATGTTTGTCCTCCAGTTTGTGCATTTATGCAAAACAGCATATCTTTTCCGTTTTTAATTTTTTTAAGCATATTTTCGTTCTTGTTTTTCTTGCACCTTTAATGCATGTGTATAGTCAGTACATGGAATGAAAAGCGTCTAATAATAACGGTTATTTTCAGCTCATAATAACCAGGTGATAAAGCAGAGGAAACACTGCGCTTTTTGTTCTAGTTCGCAGCTCGCAAACATTTCTGTGTAATCGGCATTACACAACTACATTTAGGCTTATTTATAATTGCATTGAACATATTTTTTTAACAAACGTCTTCACAATAAATGAACGTGTTTCCTTTTGTCTCTTGTGAAGCATCAATGACAATGATGTGTGCACTTATTGCACAGATGAGACTGCACTCATGTAAAAGGCGTTTGTTTACTAATCCTCGCTCTGTAACCTCATGGCATCACTGGACTCAAACCATGTCGGCTGGTTAAACTTTAGAGTCGGAATTGCTGTGTCTGGGCACCATATTGTTAACAGTTATTTTGCTAGTGCTAATGGCCGCGTGGCAGCCAGCCAAGGGCTTTATAGCGGAAGTGGCAGCGCGAGGAACGCGGGTATATGGGAGGAAGAAAAAACTATTAAGAAAAAAAAATCCCTTTGAAAGCAGGACGAGAGAGACCCCATTGCGACCCACTGCTGCCACCGTTATGTGTGTCAGTGGGTGTGTATATGAGAAAAAGACCGGTCACAGAACCGGTAACCGGCGGATAAATGTCTGAGGGCACTGAAGCATCCTCAATCCGCCTCAAATGAAACGACACGCCAAACCATCCGTGACCCACAAACCCATTCATAAAGTTAATCTCCCCGTGAAAATGTGGTATTTCTTAACTTGCACCATATACACTGATGTATTTACCGTATTTATGACAGTATTTATGGGGCGGCGCGGACAGGGACCCCCAGCGACTCTGTCGTTATTGACATTGGATTTCCTCGCCGCGCGTTACGACCTGTCACGCGGGAGTGTATAGCGAAACACACGTGGGCAGAGGTCAACTTTGTTTGTGTGAGAAAATTATTAAGAGGAAGGAAGCCGAGCTGGCATGAAATATTCATGTCCTATATCTTGTCCTTCCTTGCAGGCCAAAAAATTGAAAAACAAAAAATATGGGGAATAATTTAGTCACACAAGACTTTAACATAAGACTATTTAATAGGTTACCCCTGTTAAAAATATGCCGGCTTTACCTAGTTTAAGATGGTCTCCCAGTCTGACCAGAAACCTCTAAAAAAAAACAGTTAACAGACCGATCTGACCAGATTAAGATTCACAAACCAGGTGAATAATATTATAGGCCTAGTTAAACTAATCTGATTCTAAAGGCTACTTTTGGTTTTGTGTTCCATTATTAGCTAGCCTACTTGGTAAAGACCTCTTTTTCATCTGAACAATATGTTAAGAAGATGAATTAATGCATTAAAAAGAAGAAGGAATGAATATAGAAATAATCAACAGGCTCTCTGGAATTGAGATTGATAGAGCTATATTTAGTTGAGGCTGGAGAAAATGATGGTAGTTTCTCATTTTAGCCTCTAGAGGGTGATGAAATGGTTTCTCACTCTATAGAGACAGCAGGGAGTGTGAGCATCACTCAGAGGGTCTCCAAGCCTCTTGAGACAACATTAGCACTGGACGGATGAAGTACCAGAGAACTCTCTCTCGTAGAGCACAAGGAAGAAAGGAAGTGAGAAAGAGGAAGTGTTGAATAGAGAATAGGAAAGAGATCGTAGGTCAGATTTAGGGTGAGAAGAGAATAGAATGAAAAGTTAAGAAAAAAGTAGAGCAAGCAGGTGTTTTTTATGAACTCTACTCTCTTGAGAAAAGATAGTAAAAACAATTTAAATCCAAAAGCAATAAAATCATGAATGAGTGAGCCGCTCAGAGGAAATGACTGAGGAAAGTAAAAGAAGAGGGAGGAATAAATAAGAAGCAAAAGACAAAATACACTCTTTCTTAGTATTATGGTGAATGTGCTTAACTTAATTTTTTTTATCTTATCGTTACAGTTTATGAGTCTCGTCATTTAGAAAAAAAATACTGCCTTTCTGTATACAAACCTAGATCAGAAGGACAGTAGCCAAAGGTAGTCATTTTAAAATCAATTAAATTTAAAGATGAAAAAAAAATACCAATATAAACCCATAGTTGTATGCTTAAAAAAAAGCTCTTCCATCTGCATTGATTCTTATGAATTATTCTTATGATTTTTTAAATATATATTTATATATAGAATATACAATGCAGTGTTCTTTTGGTAATGTAATAATTCAACTAAAAAAAAGTATTTTAGAAGCACATTAAGCAGTATACTTCAGTATGTTAAGTGTTTACGTGTCTTACTCACTCACACATGTGCATATGCATACTCACACATCACACAAGACTCGCAAGTCTTATTTTAGACATTTTAGAGCGTGTAATTGAATGTAATGGTATACAGCTGGACTTTGGGAAGAACATAGCAAAAAA